TCTCTACAGTCGTCCAAACAGAGTAGCCAATCTCTGCAAGGTAAAACATAGAGCAGAAACTGACTTATTTCATCACATTTTCCATGCTTTTTGACGGCATATACAATAGCACATTCCCACCCAATAACATCAGCGTTCGCTCACTGTACATACCTAAGGCAACACTGTTTTCACCAGTCACACCGAGTTGGCTGTATTTTCTATTTACACTATTCCAATATATTCCGGCTACCGTGATCTCACCATATTTATTGGGTCTACTCAACAAAATGACTCGTAAGTACAACCCCTCCTATAGTGTTGAGACTTGGGATGTTTTATCTGTTTCCATTCCCTGTCCCATGAGGCTAGCATGAATCGTTTAGTCTGGACAGCTCTGAAGCGAAATCTCAGAAACCCGTTATGTCATCCTAGACTAATATCCAGATGTTCACAAATGAAAATTTCAAAATGACGGTTAATGAAGCAAACCAATCAAACGTTCATCTGAGTGTGATTGCAACAGTCAAAAGCAAGTGATTATCTTGCTTCATCAATGTAACCATATGCATTTTACATATCTGACATTTTTAGTGATTTGGACGGAAAATCATTTTATAGGTCTATATGGTTTACTGTGCTTGATAGCCGTAAAACGGTACTTCCTATATGTGACGGATCTGATGTAGAAGCTACACATAAATAGGATGTTCCTCATTGTCAAATGCCCAAATTACCAATGAGGTCGGACGTTGTCTGTGAGGGTAAACCAAACGAATTTTGGATACAATCTGCTGTGTAATTTGATATAACCGGAACACGAGATGTTCGCCCTGAAATGTCCACCGATGGGCTGTGTGTCCATTACCCTCTCCCTCCACCACTAACAGCGTCAACCAACACCTGTTGTCCTGTCTTGCAAGCATGTTACACAAACGACACCAGGCGACATCACAGTTTTACTCTTTACTTTATTCCTGCGTGCTCATTTGTGCGTGTGCGAGCGCATTCAGACGTTTGATGACATCCAGGACCACGCGTCTCGCTTCCTGCCTTAGTTTATTTCGCCGATGCCATCATCCGAATCCTCGTGAGGACAAACTGAATGGAATGGTGAAGGGGGCATTCGGGCAGCGAACTGTCAGACCACAGAATACACAGCCTGGTTTGGGGAACAGGACTGTGCACTATATGTATGTGTAATATATCCGATACTCGATACATTCAACCTGGTAATTGCAAACAGTGGTGGATCTGCAGGGACACACAGACAAACAAACCGACAACCATTTAAATGTACATATGCCTTGATAGGTTTTTAAAATTCTCGGTTTAGTTATTGAATGCTTAACGATTCTTTGCTTCAACGGTCTAGGAAACATGATCCTGACTAGCGAGAAAAGCGAAGGCATTCACAAATCCATAACCATGGAATGGATTGGATGCAATAGATGCAACGTGATGGCTGACCAGATCACAGGTAAACACCGTTCCTATTCTTACTGCCTTCAGTATTCTCACCCTTATCTCACTTTCTCAGTTCGGTTCAAAATTCTGACCATCATCAACATCCTCATCTCCATCAACACCGTCACAATTTCCTCAATTTCTGACATTAAGGTTTAACCATCATATCACCTTTGCACAGGATATAGTGGAAAATGCAAACTTGTTTATATTGTACGACAATATGCAATTGGGCACTTGTTTGCTGAATACTACTCAATGAATCGCTTGGCATGGGTGATCCTGTAGTAGTTTGACGGATTTATGATTTTAGATGAAACCCAATTGTGAAAAGTCAGGGCTTCGACTGGATTCGAATCAGTGACAGAGACACCATGCCCGAATGCGGTAAGCACTCTACCAGCGTGAACTGTTCGATTAATCTTGTCAGGGCAGTCGGTCCCCTGGACCATTTGGTGGATTCCATATGAGACCGTGGGGCGGGTGGGTAACCGAGTCCAAATATGAAACTCCCAAGCTCCCGTTGTGGCTTCGTAGCCCAGCCGGTAGAGCGCTTGCAGCATTTTGGCATGGTGTTTCTGTCGCTGGTTCGAGTCCAGCCGAAGCCCTGACTTTCCACAGTTGAGTCTCCTCTAAAATCATAAATCTGCCGAACTACTTATTAATAATGAGTATCTCTGTCAGCGTGATGATCACAGTCTAGTTATGCCCAGTGAATCAGACATAGGCCATCACATTGCTTGTCCTCTTGTGACGTAGTTAGAACCACGATGGTGAGTGTGATAATGGATACAGTTGTGAGGTTACATTAGTGGTAGGCAACTTTATTCGCCATAAAATCTTAATATTCTCGGTTTAAGTCGCTTCATTCAGTAAAACAGTTACCACAAGTGCCCGATCTCTTACACATGAACAAATGTATCCCGTTAGTTCGAACAGAAGTGGCATATATGTACAGTAGTTTCACTGGCCGCTTCTAAAGCAGTTTAAATGACTGACATTATGAGAAGTGCTTTTTCTTCTAGTGGGGAGTTAGACACCCGGACCTTTGATTAGTATTTATTTCGATAGTTGCATGGACTCTACGTCCAATTCCGTGTACTGACGACAATTATAACCATTCACCCCCATACAATAAGCTGACCGCAGAGACCTACATTATTGTCAAGTGTTTTGCGGGGACGTTTACATAGGCAGGACAGATCGACAGCTTTCTCAGCCGTCACCCCATTCACAAAATATTATCTCTGCATTGTCTAAAGGATTCCTTTGAACTAGCAAAGACATTAGAACGCGTGTCGGTGAGTTCACAAGCTATGTATTCCATTGACGTTGATTCCATTTTCACGAACGTTCCTCTTCGAGAAACAGTTGAGTTTTTATAGGATTTTATTTCCAGCTAAAACTGTGATATAGGTATCCTATTTGAGTATCTTAAGGATCTCATTTCACTGTGTACAGAAAATGACAGGTTCAATTTTGAAAAGCTTTCTTATAGACAAGCAGATGGAGTGGCTATAAGTAGTCTGTTAAGTGCAACATTAGACGAGATCTTTTCGGGAATGATCGAACGGTATGTCTCAAATAATATTGTCAAAGCCTTATTGTACAAGTGGTATGCTGATGATATTTTGATTTTTACGGACACTCCCCATTTTGATTTATTTTTTAGTCTTTTTAACTCTATTCATCCGAACCTATCTTTGTTTCACGAAAGTGAATCAAACGGCAGTTTAGCATTCTTAGATGTGCTCATCACTAGGCGTGAGGATGGAACATTACAGCGATCGGTCCATCGCAAAACAACATGGGGCAGACAATATCATCAGTTCTCCAGGTTTGCTCCGATAGCATACAGGCAGGGTTTGGTCAAAATCCCGTTTCATAGGGCCAGACATATTTGCACCCATGATAAGCTGCAGATAGAACAAGAAATTCTGAGGAACACGTTGCTCGCAAACGGATTTCCTGAAAAGTTCACAGACATTCACAGCACGGTGATTAAATGCAATGAGCCAGTGCAAACAGCTCAAAAGAAAGATATATTCTTAATTTTGCAATTCAGAGGTGATCATCTGGCAAACGACATCAAGCACAAATTGCAGTATGCCTTATCCCGCACGTATGCGGCTGCCCAATTACGCTTGGTTCAAACCACCAAAGGACCCGTTCTACACAATCGGGAACGCAGTGTGCCTGACAAGTTTGTCTCTCACGTTGTTCACTTGCAATTGCAGTGACGTTTACATAAGCAGAATAGACCGACAGCTATCTCAGCGAGTGGCAGAACACGTCCCAAACTGGTTTAAATAACTCACGACATGACAATCTGAAACCGATGAATCCGTTACTCGAGGCCCCGCATCATCGATTGCTAGACACCTCATGATAACATGTCACCAGGATGCTCCATCTAAATCATTCAGAATATTGTTATGCCATCAGAACCCGAAGCCATGAGCCTTTGGCGAAGCCATATTGATCAGAACTCACCAGCCGGCGCTATATGCACAAAAGTGATTGAAGCATCCTATAGGGTTGCCGTGGTGGTGATGACATAATAGGTGGTGTGGCTGTATGCGTGTCCATATCCTGTCTATCTTTATTTGTCTGTCACACATAGCTTGCAAATTTTATGTTTGCGACTAATCAGAGTAAACGAAGTGTTAACATATAGTAACATATCTCTTTTTTTGTGCAGTGATAAAGTCATTAAAGGGAACCCGGTGTTTCAAGAGTTCAAATGTAGGCCTTAAGAGTAGTATTCAGGGGAGCCCTCCATGTTAGTATCTATTAGTGAGATATAGTCCTAGTGTCATCACAACACCCAATTTCTTGACCAATTTTATCTTTCATGGTTGCGTGTATATGCGGGAAGTTAACAATGAGAGCACATTTCCAATACCGAGATACACGTAAGGATGGGTAGGATTAGAAGTCAAACTATGATTGAAGTGTGCACCGCAGGCATTCAGTGATGACTGCTCGCCGGCCCAACTAATGAAGACCAACGAAGAAAGACCTGACGAAAGTCTACTTTCAGTCGTCATGATAATTGGATGCTAGTTCTGAGGAGATCTATGATCTTTTAATCGCCTGAGTGTGTTCGAACTATAAGCCGTATGTGGGCTGATCAAAAATGAAATCATTGTTTTTACAGATGGACAGAAAATGACTGCTTTCCGACACCAAAGCAACAGTCTGAGAGGTTAAGGCACGAAGCTTCGGGTGCAGGAGCACTATCTTTGTGAAAGTTGATCGGATTTGTCTAGTCACGACTCATTCAAGCCACTGCGATGGCTGTGGTAAACAATATGCAAGACGATGTTTGGTAATCGTGTCTGCCAGTAGAACAGTTGAAGGGTTGCAGTGAATCAAAGAAATATCTAAGTTCGAGACCATCAGGCTGGCAAGTTGAACGATGAAACCCTATAGGTAACTGAC